AATTCAACAAAATTTTAGAAAATAGAGTAGCAAAATAGTAAAAACTAAATAACTCAGACATGAATTGAAAAAAAAAAACTAATTATTTTGAAAAGATGTGATCAAATTTATTTGGAAATCAGATAAGAAAAAATCAAGATAAAAAATATCTGTTAAATTTATTTAGATCAATGTTTTCGATCTTATTTTGTTTATTTTTATGGGTTCAATTTTTTTTTTCTAAATTTGATTTTTTCACAAGTTATAAAATATTTTATCATAAACCTATATATATGCGGGTTCTTAATCTAATGGATATACTAAAATACTGTAAAACAAATTGAAAATAATAGGCGAATGGGATCCTAAAAACAAAATTAAATTAGAATTAATAAATAACCTAAAAATCATATTACGTATAAAAAAATCTATGATAATAACATACCGTTATTATAAAGAACACTCGTAAATCTACATCAACGATTAGAAAAAGAATATGAAATAATGAGTAGACTAGACAAATAAACTAAATAAAATTACAAACAAATATCAATACAAAGCAACATAAATCATCCAATTAAAATTATCAACACAAAAAGATTGGAAACTAACATAAATAGGATTGGAAATGATATTCAAACGTTTGCTGTAAGACGGATAGGATGCACGGCGAACAAACTCCACTCTCACAGGATAAGATAGACGATCAAAACAATTTAGAACAACGGATGCATATTAACGTAATTTATAGACCAAATATGATGATGAATAAATTGCAGACAGTGACCTGTAAAAAAAAATCAAGAACAAAAATTTCATAAAAACCATGAAACTATGAGTAACATTAATATTGATGAAGACAACAAAATACGAATAACAAAGACCAAAAGAGAACATACGAAAAATAAATCAAAAATATTAAAACGTTTGTTAGGTTTCTATGGAGTAGGGAGTAGGATTGGCAGAAAAAACCTGGAAGAGATCCAGCACTACTGGGTGTGAGACGTGCTCATCTCATTCCTGAATCCTCCACCTTCTAAAGAATGTTTTGATTTTGATGAGCGACATCCCTTCTTCAACATCTAGGATTCAATGGTGCATGGAATCGTGTTAGTGTGTGTCACCGGTGGTCTCATCTCAATCGATGGTGAAAGAAAGAATTTCACCAATAGCTTTGTCTTATCTCCAGAGGAAATGCAAGCTACTACACTTGTCTTAGTTAAAGTGGGAATACAAGCTCCACATAAAATACAAAGCAACCAGAGGTATTTTAAAGGGAGGGGTAAGAGAATAATTTTCACTCTGAAAATTCCTCTCGAACTGACATGTAAGCAAATCGACTTCGCTTTTATAAGTATAGATAAATGCACAAATACAAATTCTAACTCTAAAATGCAACTAATCACAAAATGAAACAAAAAACGACAGAAAACCTCAAACGTTTCTCGATTTTCTCTTAACTGCATAACATAAACA